ACCAATATAACAGCTTCTGACCTCTCACACCTGTTCTGCATTAAGCATTGAGCTTAAATCAATCACCATTCAGCAAAGCATAAGCTTAAGCACTTTGCTGAATTTGACTGAGAATTTTGCTAATGCACCTGACGTCATCCCACAGGCTTACACAGGAACCCAAATCATGAGCCACTTCTCCCAGGAGTAGCCCTGGTAATCTGCAACAAATCTGGAACTTTTTTCATCCCACATTTATCCCACTGGGAGCTGATTTACTCTCCTGCCTGCCTACTTCCATGTTCTGTAGGAAGGAAAGCAGGCAACTGCAACAATGTCTGACCTAACGTGCTCTCCACATTTTATCTCCTAAAAAGTTCTTCCTGCTGCCCCTTTCCCAACAAGTCTTTCCAGTTAATGCTATTTTGAAGGAGCAAACACCGATTCCAGGGCTGTGCTTCCAGCCTTTTGACTGCTGTGCTGCGGAGGTATTTAGCAAGAGGTACAACCCACATCCAAGGATGCTTGGTTTGCATCACTACAGACACACACCTTGTCCAGCATCCCTGGTCTGCCGGCTGAGCTCTCTTCCCAAAGGCTTCAGACAGATGGGATCAAGTGGGAAGAGGCACCAAGCACAGCTGGTCGTCTCAACTCTACTTCCAACAAATCAGCATGAGCTAGAGAAAAGACCACACACATCCTGGGCAAGCAATTACCAAGCTCAGAGCCATCTGCAGTAATAAAACACGTTGTTCTGAGAGCCACGGAGCTGGCAAAGCCACTTTCCTCCTGAGCTGCATCATGAGGCTGGAGCCTTCCATGTCCAGCAATATTGTAAGCTCTGATGGGAGTTTTTCCTCCACATTGAGTAGGTTCCTCTCCCAGATTCCTCAGTGTCTAGTAAAGGCTGCCCACACACTGCACCTTCCTCTCATCTGGGGTAGAAGATAAAAATGAAATCTCCTTATTTTCACCAAGTTTTACAGGGATGAGTATCTTGCAGACCACTCTGCATCTCAAATGTGTCTGGAATTCAGTGGTGGCTTAAAAAAGAAACCTAAGAGGGAAGTAAGACAGCACAGGCAGGTATCTAATAAGCCTTTTTTCTTTTCCCTTAGGAAATACTGCTAGAAAGATGTAAATAAAAGAACTTACAGGTAGACATCGCAGATGT